CGAAGTTAAAGCAGCATATATAGAATAGCTTCGAACTACAACTCGGAGCGTTGGCCGCTCCCCGGGCAGAACACCTTGCCCGGCGGGAGATCTCCCCTTTTCCTTCCTACGGCCACAGTGGTGACCCCGACGTGATATGAACACGCAACAAACAACCTTCGGAAACTAAAACTTCAAAAAAAACCTTCGTCATCATCCTCAAGTACCTCATTCATTCGCTCCCGAGCAGATATTGTCTGCAGTCTTCACATTCTGTAAGCCATCTAGCTTTACAAAGGTTCATCGCAGCACTGCAATAATAATGCTTCCTGTTCCTTCAAGCTACTCTCTGCGCTACAGTGTTCGGCACGGCTCTGAGCCTTACTGCTCGCCTCTGCTTCACGGCACTCTAGCAGACTACTTCTCGACTCACCGCAGACTACAATGCAATCGCTGGCACTTGCTCCAGCTCATCGTTCTCACTGGGCATTACTTGCAAGTGCGTAGTACGGCATGCATTCCCCACCGGCATTAACTGACTGACTGCACTATCGACTTCCGGTCTGAACAGGGGGGTGATGTGGCGGGGCTGTCGTCGCACCACAAGCGAAACACATGAAGCCTATCTCGCATTAACAAAGTTCCGAAGTTAAAGCAGCATATATAGAATAACTTCGAACTACAACTCGGAGCGTTGGCCGCTCCCCGGGCAGAACACCTTGCCCGGCGGGAGATCTCCCCCCTACGTAATAAATCAGAGGAAGAATTAAGGATTGCACAATTAATGTTTTGGTTCCGGATGGAAGGAAGTTTTTCAGGCGGTAAAGAGCCCGCAAGGTACCGGTGACTTTCTGGCTAACATTTGTCACTTGAGCATGCCAGCTCAAAGTGGAGTCAATGTTTAAGCCAAGATCCTTAACCGAAGAACATAATTCCAAAACAGAATGGTTGAAGTTATGTTGTGAACGAAGAATTTCATCATCACCACGAAATGCTAATCCACGGGATAACACAAATTTTACTCCTGATACTACTCATGCGTCGCTAAAACACAATAATAGCTATTGTCATTGAGGATACACATTTTCCAATTAAATTTTCACTGTATGAAACATTTTCCATTACTTTTGTGCGAGCACAGGGCCCCTAGCTAATGCGGGGCCCCTAGGCAGTTGCCTACTCTGCCTAATGGTTAATCCGGCCCTGACTATGCGCAATAAAACTTATTTTACGTTCTTGCTTGAAGAGTGTTCTGACTATGTATGTTTGTAATTACTCTAAGGTTCTGACGTAAGTCACGTATCAGTCTTTTTATGAGGTACTAAATTTTATTAGCTAGCCACCGTAACAAGTTTATTTTGATGAAGTGTCAAATATAACCTTTTAAAGTGGTCCTACTATAACTGCAGTCGGACTAGTCGTTTTGAATAAAATTTATCTTTATTTTTTTACATATTTGTGACCTCATGACGGCGATGGATGGCGGTATACCATCTCATTGAAGCCACATATAACTATTGTAAATATCACCCTTATGAGGAAATCTATGTGGACACCTATGTAGAGCAGTGGATGATAATGTCAAACGCAAGCATTAGATATTTCAGTGAATACCTGATCCCCAGTTTTATTGCCAACTGGACAGACTTCATTCAAATACTTCTTGATCTGCACCTCCTCTTCGCCGATCAGTGCCCGAACTTGGATGAGCTCTTCTATTCTCAATTTTATTTCCTTCTTTAGTGTGTCTATTAGGTCGCTATTTTGTTTCTTTTCTATTTCGTTTTCTTCAAAGTGTGATTTTCTCTGTCCTTCTGTAATTTTTTGTGTAGATATTATCGTCAGCCAGAAATAAGCTTTACATTACCGATATCACAGAATAAAATAATAGTACAAGCCGATATGTGGTTTCTCAAGATTTTAATATATTGTAAGCTAGATCGGAACAAAAATTTATCAAACAGCTCATTCGCCCCCCCCCCCCCCCCCCCCTTAATCACCTCTATGGATACATTACCAATATTTGGAGTTTCATAATTAAAAGACGGCACGTACCAATATATATTAAACTTTTAGCTACACGTCATGGGCAATTTACCTTAGGAGCAGGAGTATGATTCCCAGTTCTATCATCACTGAAACTGTTAAAATTTGTGAAGGAAAACATCATAAGGAGATTTACATATATCTGAGAAATGGAATATAATAAAATCCGTCGACAAGTATATAGGATAAAACTGTTTTAGCATCTACACTCAATATATGTCTACACTCAGCAGACAATATGTATAGGAATTTTACAGGACTATTCCTTCTTCCCTAGTCAACGCTGGTTTGTAACATACATTTTATGCCGGCTCCCCGCTTGCACTTGACAAGGCGCAAGTACGACCTCAAATGGAATACTGTTCTCATCTCTGGGCCGAGGCACCCTAGTTGTCTTACCTTACACTTGATTCGAATCGTCAATGACTGAGTTCTTTCTGATCGACTTGCTGCGGAGAGATGTTGCATCTCTTTGCATATTCTATCTCATTTACCACGGGGAGGGCTCAAAGGAATTGTTCAAAACCAATTCCAGCCGCTAAATTTCACCATCCCAAATCGTGACAAAATTCTCGATACTATCCATATCATCTTTATGATTGGCGGTTACATCACTGTGCGATTTATTAGAAGTTACTTCTTCACACAACTTCCTTTTGGAATCGACTATAGGGACCTTCAAGAAAAAAGCCTACTCTAGAGTGTTGCAGTTGTTCATGGGCATTATATACATACTCGTACTACCCTATACACATAGTCACTTATCACCGGGTAAGTCGCATGCTCGTTTCACCCCTTTTATAAGATTTAAAAAAGACATAATTCCTCCTTAAAAACCCAAAAGTAGAAATTTTCTGATAAATTGTGTTGGATGCATTTTCTATTTATGCGTGTATATGTGTCACTGTGGTGAACTTTGCGTAAAATATATACTTACGCAAAGTTGTACGTTACTTTGCGTAAATTGAGCTATCATTATCAGCTCGTAAAAGTTCACAGCTGAACATGGTAGATATCTGTCTACTAGTGTCAGACGATGCGCACCTCTAAAATAATGTATGCATTAAATACAAAAAACATACTATAAAAAATATATGTGTAGGGCTGGGCTTGTTAACGTTTATTTCAGCTTAGCACGAATGGGTCACTCGACCAGGGTCCAGCTCAATGATGTTAACGTTTATACAATATTATTTCAGCTTACCTTGTAATACATAAAGTTCACATTCTGAAGTTTAGTATATTACAATAACTAGTAACGTTATCTTATATCATAATTTAAAATTAAAAATTTTGTACAGCCGACTTTAATTTAAGTTATTAAGAATAACTCAAAAACTATTGGTCTGACCTTGATCAAATTCATATGGGACCACACGAGAAGTACCAGCTTTCCAATAAAAAAAAGAATCATCGAAATCGGTTCACCCAGTAAAAAGTTTGAGGTAACACACATAAAAAAAAACATACAGTCGAATTGAGTACCGTCTCCTTTTTGGAAGTCGACAGAAAAGAAGATAACATTATATTTTTGAAAGAAAATAGCAACTGCTTGCTTTACGTGGTAGAGCCATGCTGCAGCTATATTAGTAGTATAGTTGTGGCACGAATGGGTCGGCTCGACCGGGGAAGGACCACGCTCTCACAGAATACTAGCGTAAAATAGCAGCTTAACGCTGCTGTGTTTCGTATGGTGAGTGTAGAGAACCGGACATCCTTTTTACTGGAAAATAAGCATTCCGTCTTAGTCCTCACGGGTGACAACGCATCTGCATTTTGAGTCTTTATTGAGGATAGATGTAGATGTCTATGAGTCACAGTAATCACTTACCATCAGGTGGACTGTGTGCTCGTTTGTCACCCTATCCTATAAAAAAAACTGTGTAAAATGGTTCCCTTTGGAAAAGCTCAGCAGCTTTTGATTCGTAACCTCATAATGAAGATGAAATTTGTACTTTTTAAATATTATGTGTTTGTATACAATGTATACATACAACTCTTGTTAAAAGGTACAATGACATTTACGTAGGTACTTACCTGATAGTTGTATTTTCTTTTTTATTTCAAATATTTTTGTATTTATTGTAGTGAGACGATCTGCCGTTTCGATTTCAAATGGATGCTTTTGATAACAGAGTGCCATAATTAGTTTTTGTTGTTTTTACGTTATTGTAAACGGTCGACGCGCAAAAATTGACTGGCTGAAATATTGACTAAACAGCATTCAAATCAAATGTTTCTATATTGCGTATTCAGTGAGTAGTTTCTTGTTTTACGTTCATATTACAATAATGATCGTTTTCTATTACATTAGTAATAATAATAAAAGTTAACGTTTAATGCTATGTATATGTCCGTTACCCTCTTAAAAATTCACCCCATATAGTGATCGTTTTAAATTACTACAACGCCATCTGTGTCACGGTTGATAAACCATAAAGTTTGAAAGCTCCCTGTTGGTTATGAGCGCTACGCGGCGTTGTGTCGCTTGATTTCTCCGTTGAATCAACATTCCTTCGCGTATTTTTATATGTGTGCGTAAAAGCGTTCTCACGGCCTAAAATAAAATATTACAATATTTTGTGAGACAAATTAGTTGTATATTGTATTAAAAGTATTAAAATTTGAACGAAAAAGTATTTTAGAGCTTTTTATGATGAAATATCGCCATTAACAAGCTGCGCACACGCACACAGAGACGTCAGCGGCCATTTTGATTTACCGTACGTTGTGTATTTACGAACAAAAGCAGCCAGATGCGCGCAGGACGCGGTTGCGCATGTTACTGTCGGGATAAGTGTTTATTAAAACTTTGTTTTACCGCTAAAATGACCAAACATGCAATGTTTTCTACGTAACAACAATTCATAAACAAAATGAAGTGTCAGTTCTTACATTTAGTTCCGTGAGTGTTGATTATTGAGTGTTTAAACGACACAGAAGGAGTAAAACAAATGTGTGTGATCCATGTGTGAATGTTGTGCTTCAAAATGTGGTCGAGAAACTATATACCGGATTATGGGATTAAATTGCTATCTATAAGCGTTCTGCTGACGAGTCTGGCGGCCAAAATTCATGGGGTCGAAGGTAAGTGGTCGATTTAATGGCTGTATAAAATTTTGAAAAGTGACTGAGCTTATGAAAGCGCGGCTGCGATGTAATGCGACCGCGGGAAAGATACTGCTCTGAGCAGGGAGCTTTAAGCAGGTTCTTCGATGCGGCAATCGGTCGGTTAATATCTTGGTTCTCACAGTTGAGGTGCTTGTGAAACTAGTTGTTTTGAAAACTGGAGTGAAGTCAATGTATCGCATTTTAAATGTATTTAAATAGTGCCGCTTCTGTTGACGTAGAGTTCTTGTAATGTGTAACTCAACTCTTATTATGATGTCAAATTTATTTAAATCTACAAGTACTACCTACTTATTTTTCGACCTGGTACTGGTGGGGAGTTGTGCTTAGCTTAGGACTACTATTATTATTATGAGAAAATTTGCAATAAACATCCAATTTTCATTGTTTCTAACAGTCCATTGTCTTTTTTGTAGCTCATTAAGCCTGACGTTTAATATTTAATTTAAACGTAAGTAGTTATAAATTTTAACAATAGACACATTTAATTAGTTTATAACTTTATAATTACTATTTATTATATTTGGTCCAATGTTTTTATCCAAAATTTTTTTTTAAAAAAAAACGTTACCCCCACTAGGATTTTCTCCTGTGTCGTGGAGGCAGTTTACAAACATAAATTGCACAAGGACAAACATCCAAACCCGGAACAATTATTTGTAGGCCATACAAATACTTGTTCCGTGTCTGGATGTTTGTCCTCCAAAAATTCCATGTCTCTTGCAAAAATCCTCTTCACAGTTAACTTTTAGCTTTATTCACGATAGTTTTTCTATCATAACTCCTTATTCACCGTTTTATATATTTCTAAGACTTGATAAAAGTTTAAATTTGTCATTATAGGGACACTTTAAAATACAATATGCAATATATATTTTTATTTTATTTTTTATTTAAAAACTTAAATGTAACACCTTAAGGAAAGTGTACATAGGGCGGACTTAATGCCATATGGCATTCTCTGTCAGTCAATCCTATAAATATAAATATACCATACACAATTATTGTTATTTACAAACTAACAACCTACATTTTTAGTGATATCAGATATGACAACTCCTGAGAAAGTATATACGCAATGTAGTTACACAGTTGCTTGTTTATGCAACGACAATTAACTATTCCTAAAGGGACGATTTTCATATTCCGACGACGCGCGTGCAAGGACATTGGACATACTAGATCTTTATGAGATAAAAACAACAGTTTAATTCCGTACATAGCTCGCACGAAGCGTTCGTCTAAGTCCAACTAGTTGAATACAAATCGTAGCACCCAGCTTTAGTATGCGACACGTCACCACACGATTTCTGTGCTGGGCACCATGGCTGGACTTTTTGAATATTGATCAACCCTGAACATTGTCGTATTGTAAAAGAAAGGGCCAATTTACCACCAAATTCTCTTTTTTACTTTTGGAGGGAAAGTTTTGTTTAAAAATTCATAGTGTATAATTGGAGATTAGGCATTTTATATGCTTACGATGAATACGCAGCCTGGTTATAAGCAGCGCTATTTCACTTAATTTTATTTGTTTAGAACCTACTGTATTATGTTGAAATGACGAAAGAGGTACTTGCGAATTTAACTCCCCAGGTACCTACCTACTTGAAAAATGAAATCTTTCATTTAATGATCTTGTATAATTAGGTTTATTTAAGTATAATATTTTCTGGAGACAAATAATTCCTGTCAGGAAGCAATTTTAAACATATTCGCTTCACACCTATTTAATACCAATTACTTTTACAATGCAATATATTTAAAGGAATAATTAACAATATATGTTTATTATGGCCTGAATTCTCTTACGATGATAAAATGAAACGCAAAAATGTCGCCATCTTGAATAAGAATAGCCATGCGTTCTTTTTTTAAACAATTGCAATTAGCGAGCAATTGTCTCTTGCCGACCAATTGGAGTCTCTGAGGTCGCTACACAGCGTGCAAGTCACATACAAATCTCAACTAAGAAGCACCAATTTCTCACTTAATATAAGGGCTGTAACACATACACATTGCATATTTGTGACTGTAGGTAAATTCAAGAATGGTTTTTAACTGATAACTTTGGCTCAACGTTTTTCTCGATATATATGTGAGTAGGCTTGCTTTTCAATCATCCCCGTGTTGATAGTAGTAGATAACAAAATGGTAATGCATCGTATAATATATAATATTGTTGAAATTTGTGCTTCAATAAATTGTTATTTGATACCACCTTACGCTATGCCGTTAAATACCCTTTATATTAATTCTTTCCCCTTGAAATTGAATATAATATATAATTTAATATTGCATCCTTTGCAACTATATTTGGTCCACCAGCGACCACACTCACTATCTCTGTGCCTTATTAAGAGAGAACTGTCGCGAACTAACAACGTTTATTACTGTCAACAAACCACCCACAAAATATGATGTGCACTCTTGTGATATTCTTGAAATAGAGCCAGACAAAGCATTTGGATTATAATTGTATCCTTTATGTTTGCGTTTGACAATCGCCCACGCGTATCGGTCGCTAGTGTAACATCTTCCTTATCTTAAGTGTTTTCCGCCACTATACACGTGTTAGGTTGGTTAATTTTCAACCTTATTCCAAACAAGTATTTTGCATACACTGTATTAGACGTCCGCAACGATAACTCAGTTGTGTTTCGAGTCAATCGTGCGTTCGTGTCAAGAAATCGTTCCACGAAACTTCTTTATTTATTTGTAGCAACCCATGTCTGAGAAACATTGAATATTTGAGTAGCTTCATTTGGTTAACAAATCCTCTGGTCAAATTATCAGGGTTTTTGGATGGGTGTTGTCATACTGAGATGAGCATGATAAAACTGATGAGTTTCGTTAATTTAGATAAACATGACAAGAATAACGAGTTAAATGTTGGCGATACTGCTATATGCTTATACTTACGCTTAAACCGATGATTGATGATTTGTCTATGTTATTTTTTCCATTAGCTAACTAATCACCGACGGCAATGATACACTATGTACGCACTTTTTTTACTTACCGGGTAAAATTGTGAATCTAAACTATCTAGAATCAACTTGATCACACACAAAATTTCATCAAAGTCGGTGCAGCCGTTTAGGAGGAGTTCAGTAACATACACACGGACAGAAGAATTTTAATACATAAAGATAATAAAAATATATCTAACTCGATAATTGATCTTGCCAAAATTGCTTTGTCACGCATTTATAATTACCTAATACCTATTTAAAAAAATAGATAACAGATCTTGCAAAAAATTGACTTTTATTCATATTCAACGTATTAATTACAAAGTATTTTCAAAATTTCACATACTCCATGTATAGGCGGAACATACAGACCACACGCAGCACTGACCGCAGAATTGTCGTCTAAATTTCCGTAATAACAATTGAGTGAGGCAGTTAGCCATTTTAGTCGCTTGAGGTTCGTAAAAGCTGTATTTTTTAAACAGATTATACGAACTTATGGTGCAGATGTTGCGTATTTGGTTTACAACTTATAGGTTGAGAGATATTCTGGATTATTTTTATTAGAATTGTACACATTTCATTACCTATTAAGTGTTTGACGCGTTTGGTTATTTTTCGGAGCATCTCGCTGCAAGTAAAACATAAAAATAATAATTCATTTGATAGTAATTTTTTATTTAATTAAAAAGTTATCACAATAGTCGGTAGTACGAAAAAAAATTACTTGTATGTTTCATTAGCAACATATAGGTAAGTAAACGACTGTATGTTATTAAAGTTTACCGTTAAAACCTGTTAAAGACCACTGCTTAACACAGGCTTCCCCCATAGATTACTTCTTATCTGCCATAGTTGCAACGTTTGTCAAGCGGTTTGGCAATAACAGTTTCTTATTTTTAGTCGTTATCAGGAAGATGCTGCTGCCCATCTCCTAATTTGTTTTACCTCTGTCGTCTCTTACGACTCCCACGTGATATGGGGTAGTGGATATTTTTACACCGCCACTACGTTTGATAATCAAATATTATAATATTGTTGATTCTTAAACGCTTTGCAATTGTATAGATGCAAGTCGGAAATTAATAATAATATACATGCATACCACGTGCTCGGTGGTGAAGGAAAACATCATGAGGAATCAGGCATGTCTGAGAAAGTAAGTAAACAAAATATTTCGAAAACGTGAAGTCCGTCAGCACGCATTGGGGCAGCACGGCGGACACTTCCTTGCCCTAAAACCCTCTCAGAAATGAGAGGAGGCCTGTGCTCAGCAGTGGGACGTCGTATATACATAGTCTGTAACTTTAACTTTTATACATGCATAATCTGACTCTAAATTGATACCTCTAATAGTTACATAATCCACGTTTGTTCAAAATTAATTCTATTTTTTGTCCAAGATTTGTAAATATTTTTGTGAAATATTTTAAAAACTTCATTATTTTGTTTGTCTTAATTGTTTTATGACATTTTTTTAAAGTTTATAATTGGTCTCAGGTTTAAACTAGAATCTGTTTCACGAAAGAAGTTCCGCGGAAATATTTGAACTAAAATGAGAGAAAGAAAGGGTATTGAATTTGACAGCAAATGTAAAATTTCACAAACACTCGCGCTGCGTCTGACTTCTTTAGTTAAAAAGACTATAGTATAAATCACCTACAATATTTTTTAATCGCTTCGAACATTTTTATGAGAGTCGTTCTTAGAATAAGTACTTGCGTATTAACTTAGCCTTATTGAGCCTCGATAGATATATGCGGGAGCATTATGTAAAATTACTGTTTTGAGGTTTTTTACAACTCAGAGACGTTGAGACACGCAGTTTTTTATTGCTCTGTTAGCGCACTATGGTCTGGGAAACTATAGTTTCTCATGCGAAAGTTTTCTATTGTTTATGTGTATTCAGTAGTTTATGTACGAATATTGTTGTATGAATTGATCGTAATTAGCAACGGGTAGGTAATGACACGAGAATGCTTC